GCTCAACCACACTAAGTCGGTCGCTTTCGGAGAATCGTCGTCGCGCGTGCGGAGGCTACAAAGGAAAGCGCGAAGGTTGTGATGGAGTCGGGGCTCAGCTTTGCTCGACGGAGAACTGGACGAGTGTTGCAGAGCTGCGGCAAAGCTTCGGTGATCGGGGAACTGGACGACGGGGTGTTGCGGAGTCGCTGACTGATGTTCGAATCAGGTTTCGCGCGGAATGGATGCCGACGGCGAGAAGGTTTAGGGTTATAGAGGACAACCGTCTTTTCTAAAATGGTTTAGCCTTCTGTTAATTATCGTGAGTTTAATTTTCGTTTTCTATTTTCATTATTAATCTCATTAATATTTATTATATTCCTTTCTTGCCCTTCTAGGTAGTTAGTCAATGATTAGTAATGTTTTTCTCCTTCCTCTTCCTATTGGCTGGAATGGGTTTAAGATCTTCCTTAAAGAATGAGTCTTAAAGACCTGATCTGACCCAATGTAGTGTGATTCATTATATGTTTGTGCATACAGCCGCATGTAGGTTATAATTTGGTTTTAAAAACTACAATAAATGTAATGAACAGTGTTTGACGAAGGACTTGAGGGTTGGAGCTTTTTTCGTAAGGAACAGTAAACATCATTAAAAAGTAACTTATGCTTTTAAATAATAATAATAATAATAATGTTTTATTTCTAATTTGCTTTCATTTATGTTATTGATTGTCAGGGTCCGAGGTCTAATGAGTATCGTACATATATAAGTTCATAAACAATATTATGATAAGGACTAAAAAGTACAGATAATGCGTAAAATCTAGTTAAAGGTACATTGTGTCCTTAATTAGTAGTTAGGCAAAGTAGTCTGTCACGCAATTATAATTATCGATAGTCATTAGTACATCACCCTTTCCACTTGAAGCCACCATCCATCGGATAATTTTGGAGATTACAAAATGAGTATATGTCTCTCCATTAGTACTGACTTTACATTTTCTGTCGTTCGGAAACAAATACTTCTCCTAATTCATTAACCATGCAGTTACGTTATGATTATTGAACAAACTTGATTGACGTATATTATTTATGAATTAACCAGTTACGTTATGATTATTGAACAAACTTGATTGACGAATATGATTTATGTGTTGCTACTGTAGTGAATTGTCGAACATTTGACAAACAAGCACCATCCATTTCAATTGGATGCATGTTTGATGAGTTGGGAGCGCAACAAGACAATATATTTCTAGAACTATACTTGACTAAACCCTAAATTTCAAACTGATTTGAGATTGTGTATGTAAAACCTTTGTATAGGTTCAGCTCTTGTAATGATTCCACCTTCCTGAACTGACGTCCCCCCTCCAACAATTGGCATTGAATCCAAATGGAGACATCAAGGCTTTGTTTACTTTTATTTTTCGCTTTCTATTTTCTATTTTCGGCTAAATTGTAAGTTTGGTCTCTTGAATTACTAGTAAAGTTCACATTAGCCCTAGAATTACTTTATTCTATTCGTAGTCACTTAAATTAGGTTAACAGTTCAAGTTTGGTCACTGACCGTTAGTCTCCATTAATTTTTGTTGATGTGGCGGTCAACTATTATAGTTGACCGTTAAATGAGTGAAGTGACAATTAAAAATTTAAAAAATGATGATTCTGCCGTGGTGGTGGAGGGGGAGGAGGTCGAGTTGTTCTTTGCGGTGGCAGGTGCAGGCGGAGCAAATGAGGGCTTCGATGGTGCCTTCCTCGCCGCAGCCGTCGGTGGCCGTCCCGCCCATCGAGGCTGCATGGTTCTTCAGGCATTCTCGGTACCTCACGTTGTTGCAGCCGCCTCTTTTCTTTTGTTGGTGGTCGTCGAGTAGGATGGTGTTGGTGTTGCCGTTGTTTTTCACGGCGGTGGCTGGTGGCTGTGGGGCGGTGGCAGCGGGTGGATTGAGATGGTGGTGGTGGTGGATGAAGTGACCGTGAGATGAGGTCCGTCATAGGAGGTATTGATTTGATGGGCATAGGGATGTCTTGATCTTCATTACTTGACACCTCAGCTCCATTGTTGTTGTTAATTTGCTGTCTCTAAACTTGATATAAACCAAAATGGAAGAAAGTTGCAGCAGGGGAGAAAGAGGCAGAGTTGAGGAGAGTGGAAAGGCAGGTGGATGCGCTGAAAGGGGCCGTAAATTATATTCGGGTAGTTATCATAAATGGTCACAAAACTATTCACTTTGTACAAAACAGTCACAAACCTTTAATTTTGCACGTTTCAGTAATAAATGTTTGAACTAATAACGAAAAGATAATTCCGTCTATCTCCTCTCCATAACTGCAATCACAATTCTTTCCATGATAAATAGCAACAAATGGAATCAACAAAACAATGTGATATAGTGCGCCATACAATTGAGAACCCAATGCTTACAGAAACTCTCATTGCATGAGATGGGAAGTGCTCCAATATGATCGGAATCATTGCCTCCTCAGCTGCTCAATCGACAATAGTCACCGGACCTGCAAAAAATTGAGCAATTTTACCCCGATTGCGAATTGGGAGGAAAATAAACAATAACTACGACCTAAAAACGAAATCTCACTCAGATCGTCCTTGTCGAGAACTTCGAATTTCTTGCGGAAGTACTTGCGGATGACTTCCCCCGAAGCGTCTGCCAATTTGCTAGCGAAGTCAGCAAAATCATCGAGTTCTGTCGACGAGAGAAACGAGCAATCATCGGGAAGCTGCGAAGTAGCGGTCATCGAAGATGAAGCACAGTAAATTTGGCGATTGGGTGAAAGAGGAATTGGAAAGCAGAGGTTGGCGGTGGGAGGCAGAGGCATAATTGCGAGGCGGTGGCAGGGAAATGCAGGAGCTGTGGAGTGGGATGGAAGAGGGGAAATGTATATAATTGAGAAAGCATTTGGGGATGGACTGGAGCTAAGGATTGACGATGGCCGCGGGGCAAATTGAAGATGACGGAGGGTGAAAGCGGAGGGGGAAATGTTCAATGGCGGTCATTGATCTTCCTCCGTTGTGCGATGATGTGGCGGAGAGGAGATAGTAGAGAAGAATGAGTTGGTTTGGACCGGGGTGGTGGGTTGGTTAGGGTTTAATTAGTTTTTATTTTATTTTCATTAATTATTTTGATGATGTGGATATTGACGAGACAGCTGATTGGACCAAATTAACAGAATTTTGGATGGAGATTAACGGAATTTCCTTTTCGTTATTAGTCCAAACATTTATTACTGAAACGTGCAAAATTAAAGGTTTGTGACCATTTTATACAAAGTGAATAGTTTTGTGACCATTTATGATAATTACCCATTATATTCGCGATTAGTTCTACTTCTATGTGTGATCTCAATAAGGTGTTGCGGCAGGAGATTATCTGTTACCAATTGTTGTCCGTCCAGGGAGGAGGCAGGGGTGAAGAATCAGAAGAAGAAGAAGAAGAACTAGAGGGCTCTATGGATCAGCTAATCGCTAGTTCGATCTCGGTGTGGAAGCAATTCCCCGCTACATAATGATGACCTGACAGATACTGAATAATACTCCAATTTCATCTGTTGTTGTCTAGAAAGCTTTAGAATGTAATGTCGATTGTATCCGCTAGGAATAAAAACAAAAGAATTCGAGCCGGAGAGGAGGTTGGCGGCGGCGGAGGAATCGGAGTTTTGGAGGACGGTAGGTAGTAGAATTGCGACGCCGGCGAAGTTAGCGGCGTGTGGAAAATAATAATTAGAGAAATTAGGATTTTCTTTTTTAATTTATAATAATTAACTGAAAAATTTTTAACAAAAATATTTTTTAATTTTTTAATTGCCATTTCACTCATTTAACGGTCAACTATAATAGTTGACCGCCACATCAACAAAAGTTAACGGAGACTAACGGTCAGTGACCAAACTTGAACTGTTAACCTAATTTAAGTAACTACGGATGGAATAAAGTAATTCTAGTGGCTAGCGTGAACTTTATTAGTAATTCAAGTGACCAAACTTGTAATTTAGCCTTCTATTTCATTTATGAAATTTAGCAACAAAAATGAGAAAATTTGTTTACTTTTCACTTTTTTTGTTTTTTCCTGATTTCCAACCTTGAAAACAGAAAGTGGTAGATTGCTACTGTTTTTGGAAACAACTAAATGTTGCTTCCACTAGTTGTTCCAAAATTCGCTTTCTCATATTTTTGAGAAAAAAAATACAATTTTCTTATTGATGAGTCAAAATATTTGAATGACGGTCTCACAAGTGTTTTTAATACTTATATTTTTAGTTGTTTTGATTTTTATATGTTAGTATTGTTATCTTTCTTATTAGATAAAAAATTTACCCTTCCATTTTAGTAATCGACAAAATTAACTTCAATTCGGCAGAGTTAAAAAAAAAATTACTTTGTCATGGTTTTTAGATATTTATCATTTTTATTAGCTAGATTATTTAACTTTTGTGTACTTTGATTTCCAACAATCTACCATATATCATTTAGATTTCAGTTTCACAATTCACCAAAAGTTCCAGCTAAACACAAACTATAGTGGGTTTGTGCAAAATTCAAGTTGATTTATAACTTCAAACCAATTTATAATATTTGGGACGCTCTGTAATTAATCTGTAATATCATTAATAGCATAGTACAATAAGTAGAACCCATGAAGTTCAACAAATATGTTATTTTCATAAATGAAAAAAGAAACTCACTATATGATGGACTTGATGAGTAGTACTAGTACTTATTTTGCATCCACTTGATTCTAGGATGAGGGGTAAACTAGTTAATCCAGTCGGAGGCTTATCATGTATGTGTGTATCCCTCTCATTTAATTTATTACATACATATATATATCCTACACAAACTTGAAGTTCTACCAAAAAAAAAAAAAAAGGAAGTAAGAAAAGATGAACCAACTGATACTACTACTGACTACACATATAGTTGCAGGAGAGGAGAAATTCACTAGAGCAAAAAAATAAAAAATAAAAGGGGTAGGTATAGTATTAGTGATGGTGTTCGTCATAGCTCACTGGAAGAACCCAAAGTCGTGGTGTTGGTCAACCATCAACAACTCCTGCACCATGTCCAGATTATTATGTCCCCCCACCATCCTCATAATCGTATCGCCGTCTTCATAATCATGGGCGTGATTAGTACTTGTCCCCATGCTGTGATCATCGCCGCCACTAAGCGTGCTCTGAATCTGATAGCTAACCGCAGCGCCATTAATATGAGGATTGTTATGGTAATCATAATCAGGTGAGTAGCTCCTCCGCCCCTGCTGCTGCATAATACTGGGCTGGACCGTGCCGAGCTGGAAGTCCAAGTTGAGCGGGCCGTGGGCCTGGAGCGGCGCGGTCTGGTCGAAGGAAATGGAGGAGGTGGGCCGGGGGTGAGGGCAGCCGGTGAACTGCTGGACTAGGGATCGGAAGCTGGCCGGGTCGGCGTTGAGGAGCGTGATCGGGGTCTTCTTTGACACCCGAGACCTCCTCCTTATGGGCTTTTTACCAGTATTGGTGGAAAGACTAGTATTAGTATCAGTACTCCCGCCGGCGTACAATCCGCCACCATTGTTATGAACCCACTGATGATAAGTGTGTTGGTCGTCACCGTAGGCTGATGAAGAGGCCGCCGCCGCCGCCGCAACAGTAGTGCCGCTGTTCATGGTATGGTATGTGGTTCTACCAACCGGCCGGTCAAGGATGATGTTGTAGATGGGATGGGGGAATTAATTAAATAAATTATATAAAGACGGGTGATTGTGGGTTGTGTGTGTTCTGTTGGAAAGGAATAAAGTTGGGGTGGGTTTGGATTTATAGTAGAGTAGCATGGAGGAAGGAAGAAATGCGATCTCAATTTGATTGATGAGAGGAGATGTAGTCAGTCATTGCAGTGGGTCAAAGTAAAAGTTGTCCGTCCACTCTTTCTTTTGACAATTCCCGCCCCTCACTCTGTCTCTGTCTCTGTCTCTGCCCCCTTGGAAGTTGCTGCGAAACTACGGCGCCACACAACCTCATTTCATATTCTTTAGCAAGACACCACCACTAATCCTGTTTTACTCCCATAGCTGGTTTGGCTCGCTGCAAATGAGTCCAGTCGAGTTTTGCTTTGTTCGGATTCAGTTCAATTACAAAAAATTTGACTCGTGTTTGTTCTGATCTTGATTTAAGTTTGGTTCATTAATGAGTCCACGAGCTCTTTTCGAGCACATTGATAAGATCATGAGTTTATTTATTCTCAATAGTTGAGAACCCTTAAACTAAACTAAAAAAAATAGTTCGTAAATTAACGAATTGGTCCTTTGGATGCATGTGGTATTTGTCAAACCTGTTATTTGGGACCAATTACCACATAATCGGTTAGCGGTTAACTGACCGGCTAAAACCGAAACCGGACGGTTAACCACTAATAGAAAATCGAGGTAACTGAAAATCGGTCATATTCGGAGCGATGGGCGAGATGCTTTTGGTCTTTATGGCAGCTCGGTTAACCGAAAAACCAAGATAACCGAAACCTTAAGGCCTCTTTTTTGTCAGTGGTTGGTAGGTTTGGGAGGTGGTTCGGATTAACCGATAACCGACCTTTCTTTTTTCAATTATAACCGAACCGACCGAACTCCACCCCTAGTGATATTAATATGTACAGAGTTTTATAGGTCATTTTAATATAATAGTGTGTTTAAAAGATTCACATCACTTATCCTAATATTATTAAACTTAGAAGTGACTCACTGTTTCATAAGGGGTTTGCTAATGATACGGGCTGCCATTATCTTTGCTCATCTACTAGAATAATGGATCGATTAGTGGGAAAAGCATTCCCCTGCTTCCAGTTGTAGCTCCTTTTGCTGTGATTATGATAATTTGATTTCATTGCTCTATGGGTATTTGATTTTGGAATGACAATGGGGTAAGTTGGGTTGGGTATCTCGATACCTTTATCCATTTCGTGGCATGTCTGGTATAAATCAGGTAATCTATCATGGGTCGCCGGTCGAGATAGGCAACCCATACGTGTATGTTGTTAGAGAGTGGTATAAGATCCAGCATAACCTTCTCCCAACAACTAGAGTTATTGGGAGCAACTGGTTCTTGACATGGTATCAGAGCTGGTTTGGCCAAGTGGTCGCGTGTTCGAATCTCCACGACCCCCAATATTAATAGTTAATTAAAAGCACATGGTATGGTAGGCTTGTGCAAACTTCAAACCCATGAGTTGGCTTTCGTTTGAGGGGGCGTGTTAGAGAGTTGTATAAGATCCATCATAACCTTCTCCCAACAACTCGAGTTATGGGGATCAACTGGTTCATGACATGGTATCAGAGCCTAGAACCGAAAGGTCATGTGTTCGAATCTCCACGACCCCCAATATTAACCGCTGTCTTTCAAGCACATGGTATGGTGAGCTTGTGCAAACTTCAAGCCCATGGGTTGGCTTTCGTTTGAGGGGGCGTGTTAGAGAGTGGTATAAGATCTAGCGTAACCTTCTCCCAACAACTCGAGTTATTGGGAGCAACTAGTTCTTGACATATGTAACTATGTATTTTAAGCGGAAATTGTTGATAGAGAGACAAAAAAGGTGAAACAAAAAAGAGAGGATAGTTCGCGAAATTGGTGACCGTATTATCCAATCCACCCACCGCAATGCCTATATGCTCCCATAATGCAACCGCGACCCTGCAGGAAAGTAGCATATGCTCCAATATCTCCAAAGGCGCCCAGCAGACCGGACACTTAGGCGAGACAATAGCCATATCCTCAACATGATCATCGGGAGGAACGGGCACCTGACCCTTCTTCTCAATAATCGCCTCCATGGTGGGCAAAATACACCTCATAAGCTGACACACAAAGTATTTCAACTTTGGCGGGATAGGAAAACTCCACACCTTCTTCCAACCCACGTCAAAGAAAGAAACTTCATCTTTCCAGCCTGGCAGCCTCTGACTAAGTTGAAAAGCCAGATGATAGCCCGACTTCATAGTATACTCCCCATCCGCTTCCCACGCCCAAACACAACAGTCCCCGACCTGGTGAATCAGCAAGGGGATCAAAGAAATGCTCTTAACAACCTCCTCCGGGAAACACTACTGGAGACACTCAACACACCACCTTCCCATGCCAGGAACCATGGACGGCTCGACCCGAACATTCGACAAATCAGTAGCAGCAAGGAGAACTGTTAGCTCCTCAGACTGAAAACCCGGAATCCATTTGTCTTCCAACACACGAACCGCTGCTCCATCTCCTATCTTCCAAATAATTCCTCGTTGCAATAAATCCTACTCATGCAATACACTAGTCCATCCCCAAGATGGCCTAAATCCAAGTCGCGCTTGGAAAATGGAAGATTTCGCAAAATATTTTCCCTTGAGAACTCGAGCCGGCAAAGTGTCCGGCTCCTGCCAAATACGCCAAGCAACTTTTGCCAACAGCGCTTGATTAAAGTTCTCAAAGCGTCTAAATCCAAGTCCACCATCAAATTTACTGCGACAGAGGTTCCAAGAGACCCAATGTGCCTTGTCCTTGTCTGCTGAAAAACCCCACAAAAACCGAGGCATGTATTTATCCAGCTTACGACATAAGGTCACTAGAAAGAGGAAATACGACATAATATAAATTGGTACCGCAGCAGCCACCGATTTAAGGACTTTCTTTGCTGCCCAGGACAACTGCTTCTGCCTCTACCCCTGGAGCTTGGCTAGCAGCCGCTCCTCCAGATATCTAAAAGTCTCCACCTTTTAGCGTTGCACTAAGGATGGAAGGCCCAAGTACCTATCCTGAACTCCTCGGCATCCGTAGGATCCACGTTCCCACTAAAACACACCGCAGACTTGTTCAAATTAACTTTCTGTCCACTCAACTCTTGATAGGTCTGAAATAGCTTAACCAATGTTTCACACTCCTGTCTAGACGCCCTCAAGAACATATATGAATCATCTGCAAAAAATAAGTGGGAAATACTAGGACACCGATGGTTCACTTTTACCCCTGCTAACCTTTTCTTCGCAATAGCCTACCGTAACAAGGCTGCAAATTCCTCCGAGCATATCGCTAACAGTAAAGGGGATAGAGGGTCCCCTTGACGTAATCCTCTCATCGAACCAAAGTACCCTGCAGGCATACCATTCATCATAACAGAGAATGACGTTGTAGAAACGCGTTCCTGTACCCAACTAATCCATTTCCGACTAAAACCCATCTTAGTCAAAACCGCGAACAAGAAATCCCACTCTATTGTATCATAGGCCTTTTCCATTTCGACCTTCAAAGCTAGGTAAGCTTTCTTTCCTCGCTTCTCAATCTTAAGATAGTGCATGACCTCATGCCCTATTAGCACATTGTCTACAATCTGGTGACCATGAATAAACCCATTATGCTCCAGTGAGATAATGGAAGGCAAAATAGTAGCCATCTGCTCTGCCATGATTTTGGAAATAATCTTGTAAAATAGTTGACACAAACTAATCTATCTAATCTGCCTCATGGACTCCACTACATCCACCTTGGGGACCAGCGTCAACCAGGTGTGGTTGAAACTTTTCAACATTCGTCCTGGCCGAAAGAACGACTGAACCGCCTCCACTACCTCTCCCCCAATGATATCCCAATAAGCACGGTGAAATTTCCCAGTAAAGCCGTCCGAACCCGGAGTCTGAGTAGCCCCAATGGAGCACACAACACCTCTAATCTCTGTCACAGAAACATCAGACGTCAGCTGTCTGTTCATGTCCTCATACACGAGCTCGGAGATGGGAAGCCCCGCCAACCCTATCAGCTAAATTCGGCAATTGCCGTTCTGACATAAATAGCTCTGCATAAATATCCCCTGCCACCGCACCCTTCTGGCCTTCCTTGGTCCCATTCTTGTTTCGTAAACCTTCAATAAAGTTACTCCTTCGCCACGCTAGTGTGATTGTATGGAAATAAGCATAGTTTTGATCTCCTTTTTCCAGCCATCTAACGCACGATTTCTGTCTCCAGTACTCCTCCTCCGCCACCCATTGCTTAGATAACTACTTCTCAAGCTCGTCAATTCATTCCCAGTCAACACCCACCCCTTCTTTTAACGCTTCAATTTCCGTATGCAAGATACGAATATTTTGAGCCGAATTATTCGTCCCTGCCCGGCCCCAATCAAAGAGTAAATGCCGGAGGGCTTTCAGGCATTGCCAAAGCCGAGACATCGTAGACCCAATATATGTTTGATTCCGAACATCTCATTTCCGGGTTCTCCACCCACCTCGAGTCAAATCTAAATAAAGGCTTCTTCAATAAGATGAACGGCTTGTCAGCCACTAATAGCGCTCGATGATCTGACCCCATATTAGTGCAGTATTTCGCCAACGTGTGCGGAAACTTTTCCGCCCACAACGGAGAAACCAACACCCAGTCAAGTCTTTCCATAATACACGCCGCACCCATACGCCTATTAGACCAAGTAAACTACGGACCCATAAACCCAATATCCTTAAGGGCAAGATGATTCATGAACTCCCTTATTGCCGCTGATCCGTAGGGATCCCACGTCAAGCCACCTGCCTTCTCATTTGCTTCCAAAACACAATTCATGTCCCCCATTACTACAAATGGGTCAGTTAATTGTAAACAATAATGAGAAAGTGCAGCAACATGTTGAATCCTAATAGTCACACCTGAAGAGAAG